TTTTTTTTTTTTTTGAACAGAAGGGAAAATTTGGGGAAAGGGGATAGGCGTGGGATTTGAACCAAGCCTATACGTACATCGCACTCTTACGAAGAGAGTGGTTACTAGGTCACCAATTGAACATTTAATTAACATTGTTTAATTATATTTTTATGTGAGAAATATATTGATATACAAATTTTATCTATCATACTTATAAAAATTTTGATAATTTATTTTTATTATTTTTAATTATTAAAATTTATTATGATTTTTTTAAAAAAAATAATTATTTTTAATAAATATTAATAAATTTCAAGTATTAAAAATTGATAAGAATTATTAAGATTTTATAAAAATATAATATATAAAACTTATATATAAGTAAATTTTTACTCTATTTTTTATTTGAAAACATATTAATTATTGACTGTTTTTTAATTCATTTGAGCATCTAATTGTTTGTGATTAAGTTATCTTTAACTAATATAATAATGATTACATTTTCTTTCCTACTATTATTTTAATTGTTTCTTTTAATAATATTTCATTTGCTTGCCTAAGATTTTTGGATATTTCATCAAATTAAACTTAATTAATTAGTCTTTATGCAAAACCCAACAACTTTTTAACTTTGAGTATCGATCATTGAGAAAGGAAAAACAGCTGCAATCTAGCTAATTAAGGTATGTATATATATACTACTTTCTAATTAATCTTTACTTCTTCGATTCTTTCAAGATCTAAATGAAACTTAATTTATAGTATGTGTTTTCTAATTAAAAGGACCCTCCATGGGTCCAAATTTGAGTATTTTCAAGTAATTCTACATATACCAGACCATATGCTTTTCTCAAAATGCCTCCTTTTTAAAATCCTCAAATTTTGTCTAATCAAACTATAATCTATCACGGACGAAAAAAAAAATAAACTCAGATTTAAGAAAGAAATTTGAAATTCTTTCCTTCATATTTTATTCTTATAGTACATGAAAGCCCTTCTTAATTCTCAATTTAACCAAACACAGCATTATAATACTTAGATTTATCTTGCCATTTTCAATATCAACAAGTGAAAATAATTAAATCTACTCATTAGGATAAAAGACTAATTTGATGATAGTCTAACATATCTGTCTATTCAACGGATCATACTACATATATGTCAATCCATTCCTCTCTTTTGCAGGAAACCTGTTTTTTCCAATGGATATTTTATCCTTTGTTGGAAGTTCTCTTTTATCTACTATATATGAGATGCTATCAGAAAAGTTGAAAGATTATCTAAGTGATCAACTACGGAATTCAGACGAGGAAGTACATCCTGAGATGGAACACTGGAAGATTCTATTGCCCAAAATCACTGCTGTACTTCAACATGCAGAAGAAAATCAAGTTGCCAACCAGTTCGTGAAGTTACATCTTGATGATCTCAAGGACTTGGCTTATGATATGGAGGACATACTTGAAGAGTTCATGATTGATGTCAAGAGGTCCAAATTGAGTGCAGAATCTGAAGCCAGACCTAGCAAGCTTCAAAAAATCATCGCCAATGTCTTTTTTGGATCTGGAGCTAAGCCTAATCCAAACCTTGATTCCATGGTGAATGATCTAAGTGGTAGATTGCAGAAAATTCATAATGGGATGTGTAGTTTGGACCTAGCCAATTTGGCTTTGAAACTTGAAGATAAGTCTCACAAAGTAGCCACAAAAAGACTACCTGAGTCTTCTCTTCTTGAGGATATGGTGTTGGGTCGTGATAGTGATAAAGAAGCTATTCTTCAAAGGTTACTAGAAGATGGAGGCAATCTCAAACAAGACTTTGTTATTCCCATTGTTGGAATGGGTGGACTAGGGAAGACAACTCTTGCTCGGCTCATCTACAACGACAAAAGATTGGAAGGGAAGTTTAACTTCAAGGCATGGGTCTGTGTTTCTGATGAGTTTGATGTTGCTCGAATAACAAGAACTATTTTAGAACAGATAACTAGGAAAAAGTGTGTTTTTGATGATTTCAGTTTACTTCAAGAGGAATTGAAAGGGAATTTATCAGGGTGCAAGTTTTTTCTTGTTTTGGATGATGTTTGGAATAAGGAATATGGCCAATGGGATGTCTTGAAGAGACCTTTCATGTCTGGAGCTCTTGGAAGTAAAATAATTGTCACAACTCGAAATAAGGATGTTGGGATGATGATGAGAGGAGATGATGGCATTTACAAGTTAGAACTGCTGCAAGATGATGCTTGTTTGCCATTATTTACACAACATGCACTTGGGAAAGAGAACTTTGATGCGCACCCAAACCTAAAAGATGTTGGTGAGAAGCTTATTAAGAGGTGCAAAAGATTGCCATTGGCATTAAAAACCCTCAGTGGCATCTTGCGGGGAAAGCTGCATCGTGATGAGTGGGAAAATGTATTAAATAGTGAGATATGGAGTTCATCAGAGGATAGAAGTGGAATTCTTCCTGCTTTGAGATTGAGCTACAATCATCTTCCTTTTCGCTTGAAGCGATGCTTTGCTTATTGTGCTTTGTTCCCTAAAGACTATGAATTTGACAAAAAGGAGTTGGTTCTGTTATGGATGGCTGAGGGCTTGTTACAGCAACAGTCACATGGAAAAAGGCAAATGGAAGAAGAGATTGGTCATCAATATTTCCAAGAGTTATTATCAAGATCACTCTTTCAGCAATCCAGCAGAGTTGAATCGCGGTTTGTGATGCATGACCTCATAAATGATTTAGCTGTAAATGTTGCTGGAGAAATATATTGCAATCTTGAACGTAGCATGGGTGATGAAAAATTTGAGAAGGCTCGTCATTTGTCATTCACTCCACACTTATATGAAATATCAAACAGATTCATAGTCTTGGATAAATTGAAGCATTTGAGAACATTCTTTCCACTAGTAAAGCTCTCTTGCAATTATATGTCCTATTTGTCTTACAAAGTCTTGGATGACTTCTGGCCAACTTTAAATCGCTTAAGAGTGCTATCTCTTTGCAGTTATCAGATAAGCAAGCTACCTGATTCTTTTGAAAATTTGAAACATATTCGGTACATTGATTTGTCCCGTACAGAAATCAAATGTCTACCTGAATCAGTGGGTTCTCTTCTATTTTTGCAAACACTATTATTATCTGGTTGCCAAGAGCTTACTAAGTTACCTACAACGATTGGGAATCTAATTGACCTTCATCATCTTGATATTTCTAATACGTCATCTTTAAAAGAGATGCAATCAAAAATAGGTAATCTTAAAAATCTTGTAACATTGTCTAAATTGATAGTGGGGAAGGCAAGTGGACTGATGAGGTTATCTGATTTGAAGAACTTGGCACAACTTCAAGGAGGATTGTCTATTGTAGATCTACAGAATGTTTTGGATGTTCAGGATGCTAGGGAGGCCAACCTAGACAAGATCCATGGTTTGAAAGAGTTAGTCTTGGAGTGGACTACTTCTGATAATGATCCAGATGAATTGGCCCTTGAAATGCGAGTCCTCTGCTTGTTAAAACCTCATTCAAATTTAATGAGTCTTGAAATTTCTGGCTATGGTGGTGAGAATTTCCCTCCCTGGGTTTGTGATCCATCAATATTTTTCAATTTATCATCCATGGAGTTCTACAATTGTAAGAGATGCACTTCGTTACCATCACTTGGCCTACTACCTGCTCTCAAAAAATTGATTATTATAGGCATGGAGGCAATAGAAGCTATAGGTTCTGAATTTTATGGGGGACATGACTCTTTTCCATTATTGGAGAAACTGATGTTTGTAAACATGTTAAATTGGAAGGAATGGACTTCCCCAACTGGAAGTGAAGGTGAATTCGTTTTTCTTCATAGGCTTGTGATTAGAAATTGCCCAAAGTTGTGCCAATTACCTAGCAACCTTTCTTCACTTAAAGAGTTGGATGTCAAAAGGTGCAATGCGATGCTTTTGAAGAGTATGGGTGATCTCACCTCGCTTGTTAATTTGAGTATTGAGGAAACTTCAGAACTGACTTGCTTGCGGAAGAATTTTACACAGTCCTTGACAACACTTGAGACTTTGTCTATTGGAAATTGCAATGACCTTACTTGTCTGTGGGAGGAAGGGGCAGAAAGAGAACAAAGCCTTTTGCCTTTCAATCTTAAACATCTTAGCCTTGAGTATTGTAGAGCTTTGGAGTCATTACCCAATGCAATGATGATGAGGATGGATGGAAGTAGTAGCACCAACAGTAGTATGTTGATGTCGAGACTGGAAAAGTTGAAAATTTGTGGTTGTGATTCTCTCAAATCTTTTCCAAGAGGCAAATTACCCATCTCGCTTAAACACTTGACGATAGTAGGCTGTAAAGGTCTTGAGTCTCTACCAGATGCTGATGGTGACAATAATAATAGCAATCTACACTTGGAAATAGGCAATGTTCCATGTTTGTATTCTTCTGAGGGTTGTCATAAACTACCAGCTTTTCTTAAGAAATTTGCAGTTGCTGATGGTGGCGAGTGGTTGGAATCATTTCCAGAGAATATATTGCAACATTGTACGGAACTTCATTCCATTATAATTAAAAATTGTAAAATACTGAAGAGTTTACCCACCCTGGATTGCGTCAGCAATCTCCTTGACTTATCTATTGACAACTGTGAAGCTTTGGAGTACTTACCAGAAGAGTTGGGGTTATACACCCCCAATCTGAAGGATTTGAGAATAATACGGTGTGAGAATTTCATATCCCTCCCAAATACGATGTACCAACTGAAATCTCTTGGAAGGCTAGAGATGAGAAACTGTCCCGGCATCGAGTTCATTCTAGATGGGGTTTTGCCCCCAAACTTAAGAAAGCTTCAATTAAGTGGGTGTAAGAATCTCAAGTGTGTGCCGAATACAATGTATCAGCTCACATTGCTTTGGAAACTAATGATCCCAGGTGGGGCTCTGACAATGGGCCTCCAAAACCTAACATCTCTTCAAGACTTGACAATTGAGCAGAAATTCCCTCTGGATATTGTGCTACCTTCTTCTTTAACTTGTCTTGGGATCTGGAAAGAAGAAAATTTGAAATCCATACGTGGGCAACTCTTCCAAAACCTAAGCTCCCTTAAAGAGTTTTGGATAGCTGACTGCCCCAGGCTACAATCTTTGCCAAGGGAAGCTTTCCCTCCCTCGCTTGGAGAACTGCGCATTGGTGGGTGTCCACATCTAAAACGACAGCGGTTTGAGGCGAAAGGAGACTATTGGACTCTCACCTGGAGCATCCCCTGGGTTGAGATAGAGGAGGATGAGGTAATAAGACCCTGGTGTGAACTGAAACGGGCATCACCATTTTATGCTTTTCATATGAGAATTTAGAAAAATTATAATAGATAACACTTTTCTTTGACTTGTGCTACCTTTTCTCATGTACATATGTTGTAAATCCATTTTGCAGGGTGTTTTTTCCCCCATTTATTGAGATAAATAACACCAAGCCACTCCACAATGTTACTGGTACTTCATTCATTCCTTGGATTTATTTTTATTTTTATTTTTATTCTTATGGATGATGAAGTGAAGTCCCATGTAAATTGTCCAAAACATTATGTTCTATTTATTTTGCTCTGAAAACGTGCATTCAATTGCCTCAAAAATGGCTCTTGCTTTTCAGATTATTTGAAAGGGGATGAGTGGTTGGCCCAAGCATTGCGAGAATTCACAAATATATTGATAAAGCCACAACCACGAATGAGCTTGCAAGTCGCTAAATGAGGTTCTTAGGCAAGCCAACCCATTCGAATTTTGAATTCATTACTGCAGATCCTATGTTTTCCATTTTGAAGAATTGGGAAGAGTTTCGAAACAAGAATTGAGTTTTGATTCAAAAGGATATTCTCAATGGTACCCTCCTTTCCTGCCACATGTTTTTTGGTGTTTTTCCATCTGGACTAGCCTTTGTACAAATTAGATTTTTCTGCTATCTAGAACTGGAAAACGGATATCACCATTGCTGAATTAAACAATCTTGCAATCTGACCATGTCAAGCTACATATTCTGTGAGTAACCAAATAACCTGTCTAAAATTTTATCATGCTACCTATTTCTCTTGGTTGTGTTTAACTTTTAGGATAAGCAAAAAGCAAAAAATGATATATTTTGAAGAATTATATATCATGATATCTCCATCCATTATTTGCAAAGTGATACATTTTGATGATATAGTTGACCCTGGTTTTGTCTTATATTTGGGTTATCAGCTATTTGTATATATGTATTTTTTTTAATCTTATTTTTGATTCCAGTGCATGGAAATTAGGTAGATATCAAGAAGTTAGTCTAACTTAGTGTCCACATGTTCCCTTTTTTGCGCCTCCCCCATCTTCTTCTTATTCATCATCACATTTCCCATAATTTTAGTGTCTGCTTCCTTGCAACTGTGTAATGCCAACTTATAATTAGTTCTTGTCATGTTTTTATCTTAAAGCATCTGATTAAACCCTTTGTCGTTTTCAAGTCAACTACAGGATTAGTTAAAAGGTGATTGATCCAAGATTCCTAGTTCAAGCCTCCCTTTTTAGGCAAGTTCTTTTTTCAACAAGTAGGAGCTGGATGCTTTGATATTAACACTGCCTTTCATAAGGGAGGTGAAGCTTCTGGTATATATGATGAGTCAGAAATGAATGATCCAACAATGTGCATTGTGTTTCCTCTTTCTCATCAACCAAGATTACGGAACAAACACAGTTGCTTTAACTGCTGCTTTACTTAACAATGGATTGATTGGCAAAGTAGCTTCAAGTTCTAACGACTTGATGAAAAATGGTGGTGCTCACAAGATCCATTATAGACTCATAGTTGCAGCTACAAGCTTCTACCCTCCAAAGAATGCCCTCTCTAGTAAGGCAAGCTTCGTCTTCTCATCCCTCAGTTCAGAGAGATTCTCTATCATTTCACCAAGATAATGCTAAGCTTTAATTCACTTTTGCAGGACATGGATTTTCTTTGAGTTTTTCTTGTAACTTCCCTTGATCAATTCCCTTAATCAAGGACAATTCGAGGATATATTTTAAAGTGGATGGAGTAATGCTTCAAGGCAGCATTATGCAAAAATCATTTCAAGGTGCATTGTCACGTTTTAATCCTTTAATATGTGCAAAATTTGAAAGTTAAAATCCAAGTTATTAGTTGTAGGTGGACTTATTATTAGACTAATTTATGCCATACTCAATTATGTTAACTAACCATTTCAATTTCTTATTTCTTCAGGATTCCTTTGTTGTATATATCCATACATCTGGCGTTGCGAAAAGTCTTCATGAACTCATACATGAACTGCATGGGGCTTGGATGAAATATATCAAGTCATGGGAGCTTTAAAATAATGGCTAGTGGCTGGTTTTGATCATCATTGCAAAAATAGTAGAGAGACAGTGAGAGTGAGTTGCAACAGCAGTAAGGTCAGTAGAGGAGTTAGTTCTGCCAGATGATTAGTCATTTTGGTCTCCGGTTCCTCTTGGAACGCGCTTAGCATACTTGGTGAGATTTATCCCAAATTTAATGGCAGATTTTGACTTCCAGCTTTATTATGATGATGACTGTGACATTGGTGATCCAAGAATTTATTTTTGATGATTTATTGTTATGTACAATCTCTGGTGTTTCCTAAAGTAGAAGAAACTTCGTTGTTGTCATAACCCAATTTTAATAGGGGCTAAATGACAAAATTAGAGGTCTATGGACTATTGTTGCAAAAAAATGAAACTTGAAGTGCTCAAAGGAGGAATCAACAAAACGACATTGTTTTGATTTAAAAAATAAATAAATAAAGCTGAGAACCCTAGCTACCCAAACCCGTTGCTTTCTTTGCTTTGCCACCAGCACCAAAACAGAAAAAAAAAAAAAATTGCTTGGCTTATCCTAAATCCACTCAGGTTTTGAAGATATTTTGGGAGATCGAAAGTTATCAACAAGAGGTGCAAAAGAAGAGTTCAAAATAGATTCAAAGTGGGGAGTTCTAAACATAAAAGGTATGAATCTAGACTTGAAAAGAGGAAGATGTGGGAAAAACTAAGAAATCCCATTCCAGATAAGATTTCCAGATAAGATTGAGTTGTTATCTTAGGGATTGGGATTGAGTATTAGAAGCATATTAGGATTGGGTTTTTTCCTTTGTCTATAAAAAGGGATCTTTGGCTTTAGAGAGAAATTCGAGAGTTGAGAAGGAGAAAGAAAGCAAAAGCTGAAAGAGAAGAAAAGGGAGAAGAAACCGAGAGAAAGCCAAGAAAAAAAAAAAAGCAGAACCAGAGGTGAAGTAGCTGTAGAGGGTGAGCGAAGAAGAAACTTGTATTTGAAATTTTATAAAATAATAAAGCTTTAATCCTTCAGCTCCATACAGGTGTGTGATTTATTCATTTTTCGTTGATTTTTGTCTTTTTTTTTTTTTTAATTCAAAAGCATGGGTAATCTTGCATGTCTCTGTTAATTGTTCTATAAATTGGATGTGACGAAAACTTGTCGCAAAAAGTCTTATTCTTTGGTAGAATTAATCTGTGTAAGTTAATTAGGTGCTCGAGGGATAAGATCAAGATTTAGGATGAAATTTGTTTTCACGGTGTCACGCCCCAGAACCCAAATCCGGGACGTGACAGACGCCATGCATTCGTGAACGGATCCCACGAATGCATAAGGTTCGAAACTTATCTATTTCATAACTCCAATCGAATATTTCCAAATTAATTCTATATCCAACATGACTTAACCTCAAGATCTCCAGATTAAATCTCTTATAACTAACAATCCATTAAATGAATGTATAAAATCTCCCATTAAACTTTAGTTTATAAGATCATGATCTATATCTCAAATCTATATTCACTTTACAAAATGGCTAGCTTTCTAACTCGTCACTCCCCTCAGTTTCTCCGTCCTCGGTTTCGCTTCCTGAAATGGTGGACAAGGAAAACTATGAGATAACTCAGTAAGTAAATATGGATAACCCTTAGGTAAAACTTTTAGCATGCCAGATAAACCATGTAAGTATAACAGAACTTTCACTGATAAACCGTTAATGCGGAAATCAATTTCCGTTCAATTGCAAAACGTTTCACAACAAACCGCTAATGCGGAAATCAAATTCGGTTCAATAGCAAAACGTTCAATGACAAAACCATCAATGCAAAATCAAATTCAGTTCAATAACAAAATGTTTCCTAACAAGTCGTTAATGCAGAAGAAAACTCAGTTCAATAGTCTCATCTATAAGTCATGGCCAATGTTATAACAACCCACTGGCAGGCGACAGAAATTTACCAATGTATTCGCCCAGTGGCAGGCGTCAGAATGTGCCAATGCATTCGCCTAGTGGCAGGCGTCAGAATGTGCCAATGCATTCGCCTAGTGGCAGGCGTCAGAATGTGCCAATGTATTCGCCCAGTGGTAGGCGTCGGAATTTGCCAATGTATTTGCCCAGTGGCAGGCGTCAGAATAAACCGGTCATGTCAGTAAACATGTCAACATGTGCTAGCGTTACACCCACTAGTGGGGATCAAAAGTGCTAGCGTTACACCCACTGGCGGGGATCAGAAGTGCTAGCGTTACACCCACTAGCGGGGATCGAAAATCATGACTATATCCGAGACAAAACCATGCAGAATTTACAGAAAAACTCGGAATTCACAATCAATCTTCCATTTCAGAAATAAACCAGAAAATTTCCATGTGAGCATGGATTTAACAGAAAACTCAACATTTACAAAACTCTCAGTTCATCAAAACAGTTCAGTCAATTCCAAATAGGCATTCTCAACTCAATGCAACAAAAACAATTTCGTTCTAATTATGCTCAATTCCAGAAAATAATAATTTTCATAAAAATCATCAAAATCTCCATTTCAAACCAATCATGCTCAGTGTTAATTAAATCACTTTAAATCAATTTAAAGCTTGCCACCATCTCAAAAACAATTTAAAACACGCTTTGAAATCGAAGAGCTTTACCATAATTTACTTACCTCACTCGCACAGAACAGAAGGCTAACCCAAGTGCTACAGTGACAGAACGATAAAAACCTAATCACAATATTCCACAATTAATATCGTGGTACCACAAATTCAAATTGAAATCATTATTAGCACTACCCCTAATCGCAGTGCTATTTCTATCAATCTCCACATAACCGAACATCTGCAAATTCATTCTTATATCACAAACTAAACCTTTAAATCCCCGTTAATTATTGACCCTCGGTGTGTGAACAGTGCACGTGAACAGTACCCCGTGAACAGTACCATGTGAACAGTACCTCAACTCCCACAATTGACAAAACATAGCTAATTCACGGGGTTTTTTTCTCCAAAAATCACAGCAACTAATCAAGCTAATTTCTCTACCTAAACCAAGATTAAAACATAACTTAAAACTACCAAAATTTTCCCATTTCTCACGGGCAGCACATGGAGGAATCGGTTTTGGCAAAAACAATTGGAATTCATGGGATTTCCACAATTAACCTCACAACAATCAAATTAAGCTAGTTTTTTTACATGAATTAAACAAAATTACATATTTAAACGGCTGCCAAATTTCTTCTTATTTCCACAAATTTTCGGACAACAGGGGGGAATCAATTCAACCAATCAAAACTCAACAAGCAGCAACTAAGTGGGTAATTCAGACTTAAAGGAAGCTGTTCATACCGGAATTCAATAAGCAAGGTCGGAGCTGGCGGGTTTGGGGGAAGGCTGGCGGCAGAGGAGAAGAAATTCTGCAGGGAACTCATGGGATTAACCCAAATTAAAGGAACCCAAGCCAATTAAAGGAAAAACAAAGGGATTTCGGGTTGCTCCTTACCAAAAAAGCTGGAAATTTCCGCCACCCACCCACCAGAAATTCGCGGACAGCAAGGGGAAGAATAGAGTAGATCTGAAATTCTCTGCAGGGGGGAAACGTTTCTGGGTTCTAGATGCGTTCTAAAGCAAGAAAAGAAGGAGAAATCCAAGCTTTCTCACCGGTTTTCCTCAAGGGAAGGTGCCGGCGGCTTGGAGGGGCTTTCGAGCTGCAGGGAGAAGAAAGAAGAGCAGAATCGGGCTTGGCTGGGAAGAAGAAAGAAAGAAAAAGAAAAAGAAAGAAAAGAAAAAAAATCAGTCAATCCTTATCCTATTTTCTTTCTTTTTAGCCCCTCAACTTTTTAAAATTTTACGATTAAGCCCCAAAATAAAAATTTTCCTCAAATAAGTCCCTTACTTAATGCTAAAATATCCCCAAAATTTTGGGATATTACACATGGTTACATGTAGGAGGTTCTAAATGATGCGCAAAATTGGGAAATAGAAACTTTTTGGTTAAAATTTCATTTTGGTCCTTGAATTTTTGTATAAACCTTTGATTTAATCCTTGAATTAAAAAATTTCTTAATTTGATCTTTACTATTTACCATTTTAACCTCGATTTGGTCCTTCCGTTAAATATCCACCGTTAACTCGAGTTAAAGACATGGTAAAAATTTTAGACACGTCAAATCAAAATAATGGCATGGCAACATAACAGGTTATATTCATGCCATGTAACCCACCAAAATTACAATTTTATCCTCATCTAGTTCCTCCAGTATCCTCTTTCTTGAATCTTCTTCATTCATCCTTCTTTTTCCCTCTCTTTGCCTCCTCCAAAACAACTTTTACCACCATTTTTTCTAAGTCAAACAATTAATTTAATGAAATGGAATTCCATTCTTCATCAATCAATTCTTTTTTATCATCAAACAACAAAACCTAAAAAAAAAAAAAACATAATTTTTTTTCGAACTAGCAACTGGGTTCAAACGAACCCTGCGCCTAGGTTCGAACAAACCTCATGCTTGGGTTTGTTTGAACCCAGTGGCAACTATTGGGTTCAATGGGTTTTAAGGGGGAAGGTTAAAGAGAGAGAAAGAGAAGGAAAAATAATTTTTTTTTTAAGTTTTATTATTTTTATATTATTATTTTTTTACCACGTGTATTAATATTTTACGACGTCATCTCATAACAGTGAATGTAATGAGATTTTTAATGAAAGGATCAAATCGGGGTCAAAATGATAAATAATAGGGACCAAATCAAAGATTTTTTTAGTTCAAGAACTAAATCAGGGGTTTTATAATAATTCAGAGACCAAAATGAGGTTTTAACCAAAATTTTTTTTGGGAGGTAGGACTGATGCGCACTTTCCCGTATATATATATATATATATATATATTTTTTTTTTCAGATCGTTATTTGGCATCCTCTTCTTGTGTTACGTACTCTTCCATCTCTGTAGTTAATTTCCAGCAAATTTCTCCACCCGCCTTCAGCTTTTGAGCGTTGACAAGAGGTACTCTTTTCTTAATCCCCAGCTATAGATATAGCTACATTAATTATTTTTACTCAAAATTCATTTTACTATTTGTTTTCTTTGGCTTTTCGCAATCTTTTGATGTATATATGTATATGTAACTTTAGATCGTGCTTCTTTGTGTGTATGTGGTTTTTTTTCTTCATTTTTATGTTGGATAATCACTATGTATATCAG